TCTTCTCTTCTCTTCTCTACTCTACTGTACTCTACTCTACTCTACTCTACTCCACACTGCTCTACTCTACTCTACTCTACTGTACTCTACACTGCTCTACTCTACTCTACTGTAATGTACTCTACTCTCCTCTTCTCTACTTTACTGTACTCTACCCTATCCTACTCTACTCTACCCAACTCGACTTTACCCTTCTCTACTCTACTCTTCTCTACTCTACTCTACTCTACTGTACTCTACTCGCACACAGACAGACAGAATGTTGAAGTCTAATTGAAAGTAAGACATAAAAGCATATTTTCAGTAGTGAGAGATAATTGGTTTCATCAAATCTGCTAAATGAGATAAAGATGTGGTCAGTGTCGTCTGGGATGAGTTTTTATTAGACTTGTGTAACGGAGACAAACACCTGCCACGTCCTCAAACATACATCCAGGAAGTCCCGACGCATTGGTCCTGGTCTCAGGTCTCTGTTTATTACAGGTCTCTCCAGGGCCTCGCACTGAAGTGCACCTGTGACATGTTCGTGAATGGATGAATGAATGAATAAAGGGTCTTTATTCGGACAATACAAAATAATATAAATAAATACAAACTAAAAACAAAAAAACCTATATGTGTACAATGTACTGTATGTACATGTTGTTCCATCAAGGAATACATAAATTAAACAATCATGTCCAAAAGGGAGCAGGAAGAAGTACAAATACTTACTTAGTGCCGTATGAACCAACTCTGAGGAGCACAGGGACTGGCCTCCTGCTGAAACTCTGAGGAGCACAGGGACTGGCCTCCTGCTGAAACTCTGAGGAGCACAGGGACTGGCCTCCTGCTGAAACTCTGAGGAGCACAGGGCCTGGCCTCCTGCTGGTGCCAGAGTGATCTGCACTACCTGATGTCTCTCTCTCTCTTTTTATCTATTTCTCTATCTTTCTTTCTCTCTCTCTCTCTTTATCTCTCCATCGCTCTCTCTCTCTCTCTATTGCTCTATCTCTGCTGTTGCAGCCTGAGCCTGGATGGCGGTAAACACAGCCTATAAGACCTGTTGTTGATGAGGAGGACACAGTGCTTGTGAGTGTCTCAGCTTTCTCTTGTTTATTATGGGATGCCTTTAACTCGGCCGTGATTGGATGAAAGGATCGAGTGTCCGCTCAAAGAACACTTAAGGTTGACCAATGACCCGGCTCCGTCTCACATCTGTCTGGAAGACGTCAGGACCATCGACCGAGGATCAGGTTACCATCACAACCAGTTTAAGATGTTTCTACACCTACCATGTCAACAAGACCATAACAGAGACCAGAGAGAGACCAGACAGAGACAAAAGAGGCCAGAGAGAGACCAGAGAGAGACCAGAAGGAGACCAGAAGGAGACCAGAGAGAGACCAAAGAGACCAGAGAGAGACCAGAGGGAGAGCAGAGAGAAACCAGAGTGAGAGCAGAAAGAGAGCAAAGAGAGACGAGAGAGTGAGAGCAGAGAGAGAGAGACCTTTCTGGTCTCTTTTGTGTATTTAATTCTGTCACTGCTTTTGAACTTTCAGCCTGAGGTCATTTAACTGAACTATGAACACAATGTGAGTAATGTGAGTAATCCCCTTTAACCAGGATCAGAGCAGGACTCAGACCAGGTCTAGACCAGGTCTAGACCTGGACTTAACCAAGACTTAACCAGGATGAGTCCAGGCCTGGATCAGGTTCCACTGACACGTCTGCTCAGAGATGGGGAAACAAACTCATGCAATTTTAATGATTCTGAAAACAAGTCGATATAACACAAGACAAGTGGTAAACGAAAACACAACTACATCAATACAGGAACTTCAAACAAATGTTCTCTGTCCCTCTCCAGTCTCTCTGGTCTCTCTCACTGGTCTCTCTCCGCTCTCTCTGGTATCCGGTCGCTCTCTGATCTCTCTGGAATTTGGTCTATCTGGTCTCTCTCTCTGGACTCTCCGGTGTGGCTCTCTTGTCTCTTCCTGGTCTCTCTCTCTGGTCTCTCTCTGGTCCCTCTCTAGTCTCTCTCGGGTCTCTCTCTCTGGTCCCTCTCTGGTGTCTCTTTCTGGTCTCTCTCTGGTCTCTCTCTGGTCTCTTTCTGGTCCCTCTCTGGTCTCTCTCTGGCCTCTCTCTCTGGTCTCTCTCTGGTCTCTCTCTCTGGTCTCTCTCTGGTCTCACTCTGGTCTCTCTCTGGTCTCTCTCTCTGGTCTCTCTCTGGTCCCTCTCTGGTCTCTCTCTCTGGTCCCTCTCTGGTGTCTCTTTCTGGTCTCTCTCTGGTCTCTTTCTGGTCCCTCTCTGGTCTCTCTCTGGCCTCTCACTCTGGTCTCTCTCTGGTCTCTCTCTGGTCTCTCTCTCTGGTCCCTCTCTGGTCTCACTCTGGTCTCTCTCTGGTCTCTCTCTGGTCTCACTCTGGTCTCTCTCTGGTCTCTCTCTCTGGTCTCTCTCTGGTCTCTCTCTCTGGTCTCTCTCTGGTCCCTCTCTGGTCTCTCTCTGGTCTCTCTCTCTGGTCCCTCTCTGGTGTCTCTTTCTGGTCTCTCTCTGGTCTCTTTCTGGTCCCTCTCTGGTCTCTCTCTGGCCTCTCACTCTGGTCTCTCTCTGGTCTCTCTCTCTGGTCTCTCTCTGGTCTCTCTCTGGTCTCTCTCTGGTCTCACTCTGGTCTCTCTCTGGTCTCTCTCTCTGGTCTCTCTCTGGCCTCTCTCTCTGGTCTCTCTCTGGCCTCTCTCTCTGGTCTCTCTCTGGTCTCTCTCTCTGGTCTCTCTCTGGTCTCACTCTGGTCTCTCTCTGGTCCCTCTCTGGTCACTCTCTGGTCTCTCTCTCTGGTCCCTCTCTGGTGTCTCTTTCTGGTCTCTCTCTGGTCTCTCTCTGGTCTCTCTCTGGTCTCTTTCTGGTCCCTCTCTGGTCTATCTCTGGTCTCTCTCTGGTCTCTCTCTCTGGTCTCTCTCTGGTCTCACTCTGGTCTCTCTCTGGTCTCTCTCTCTGGTCTCTCTGGTCTCTCTCTGGTCTCTCTCTGGTTTTCTTAATGAAAAGCAGATATTGATCCCAGCGTTATGGATCCACACATCAGTGTCATCACTCACTGTTAAAGCTGAGGTACCTAACTTTAAAACCACAACAATGTTTTAAACTCTGGTCCCTGGGTCTGGCTCTGAAACGGTCTCTCACTAGTGTCATATACAGTATCTCTGTCACATCTAGATCAAAGAGTAGAGTAGAGTAGAGAAGAGTAGAGTTGAGCTGAGTAAGAGTAGAGTAGAGTAGAGAAGAGTAGAGTAAGAATAGAGTAAAGTAGAGCCAAGTAGGGTGGGTGGAAACAGGACTTTAACGACTGATCCAAATTCTTTCCCAAATAAAATAGCATTAAAGTTACATATATGAGCTTTATGTTGGTCACAGGTTTAAGAATAAAGTAAAAATGACGAGATTCTTTATTCGTCCAACAGTGAAATGTCAGTGTTGCATCAGCAGTGACAGAACAGTAGGAATGAGGAGCACAGGTTGCATGTTCTCCTCATCGCACTCAGCTGCAGTCGTCTGTTTCCGCCGCAGTGATAATATTGAGTTCTTCTGTTGGCGTTTATGGACTCTGCATCTGATGGTCAGGGATTAGATTACCCAGAAACCAACTGCATTAGAGACCAGAACGAGACCAGAGCGAGACCAGAGAGAGACCAGTGAGTGAGACCAGAACGAGACCAGAGAGTGAAACCAGAGTGAGACCAGAGAGAGACCAGAGCGAGACCAGAGAGTGAGACCAGAGAGAGACCAGAGCGAGACCAGAGAGTGAGACCAGAGTGAGACCAGAGCGAGACCAGAGAGAGACAAGTGAGTGAGACCAGAGAGAGACCAGAAAGAGACCAGAGAGTGAGACCAGAGTGAGACCAGAGCGAGACCAGAGAGATACCAGAGAGTGAGACCAGAGAGAGGCCAGAGGGAGACCAGAGTGAGACCAGAACAAGGCCAGTGAGTGAGACCACAGAGAGATAAGAGAGAGACTAGAGTGAGACCAGAGAGTGAGAACAGAGTGAGACTAGAGAGAGACCAGAGAGTGAGACCAGAGAGAGACCAAGCAGGGGCCAGGGAGAGACTAGAGAGAGACTAGAGAGAAACCAGAGAGACACCAGGGAGGGACCAGAAACAGACGACACAGAGATTAGAGAGAGACCAGCAAGAGCCTATAGAGAAAGAACAGAAAGACCGGTGAAAATCCACAGTGAGACAAGAGAGAGAGACCAGAGAGAGACCAGAGAAAGACCAGAGAAAGACCAAACAGTTAGACCAGCAAGAGACCATAGAGCGGCCGAGCTCAGGTTTCCGCGGAGCAGGCTCTAATCCGGAGTTAATCTCATCTCGACGAGAGCGAAAGGAGAAGTGTATCAGGATAAGAGAGTCCATAAACTGAACCACAAACACACTCAATATTATTACTGCGTCCAGAAGCCACAGCCACTTAGATCTCTCTCTCTAGGTTCTTTTTGGTCTCTCTGGTCTCTCTCTTACCTCTCTCTCTTTTTCACTATCTGGTCTCACTCGCTGGTCTCTCCCTGGTCTCTCTGGTCTCTCTCTGGGCTCTCTCTCTATCTCACTATCTGGTCTCACTCTCTGATGTCTCCCTGGTCTCTCTGTGGTCTCTCCCTAGTCTCTCTCTGGTCTTTCTCTGATCTTTCCCTGGTCTCTCTCTAGTCTCTCCCTGGTCTCTCCCTAGGTCTCTCTCTGGTCTCTCCCTGGTCTCTCTTTGGTCTTTCCCTGGTCTCTCTCTGGTCTCTCTGGTCTCTCCCTGGTCTCTCTCTGGTCTCTCCCTGGTCTCTCTTTGGTCTTTCCCTGGTCTCTCTCTGGTCTCTCTGGTCTCTCCCTGGTCTCTCTATGGTCTCTCTGGTCTCTCCCTAGTCTCTCTCTGGTCTCTCTGGTCTCTCCCTGGTCTCTCTCTGGTCTCTCCCTGATCTCTCTTCGGTCTTTCCCTGGTCTCTCTCTGGTCTCTCTCTGAGGCCTCTCCTCCAGCCCTGAGTCTCATGTTCGGACACTGGACGCCGTGTTGTGGTTGCTGGTTTCCGTTCTGGTGTGTGGGTTTCTCTGGTACGAGTCTGATCTCGTTTGTATCGAGCCTCGGTCCATCTTCACACAGCTCTGGCCCCAAACATCCTCTGTGTGGTGAAACATGAGATACACACCAGAAAAACAGGACTGCAGTTATTAAGGAAGTACACAGAGAGAAAGAGACCTGGAGCTGTTTTTAAATATATCCATGATTATACATCAGAGACCAGAGAGTGCCGAGAGAGGGACCAGAGAGAGACCAGAGAGTGCCTAGAGAGGGACCAAAGAGAGACCAGAGAGTGCCTAGATCCAGGACTGAGACTGTAGACCCAGGACTGAGGCTGTAGACCCAGGACTGAGACTGTAGACCCAGGACTGAGGCTGTAGATCCAGGACTGAGACTGTAGATCCAGGACTGAGGCTGTAGATCCAGGACTGAGACTGTAGACCCAGGACTGAGGCTGTAGATCCAGGACTGAGACTGTAGATCCAGGACTGAGGCTGTAGATCCAGGACTGAGACTGTAGACCCAGGACTGAGGCTGTTGACCCAGGACTGAGGCTGTAGATCCAGGACTGAGGCTGTAGACCCAGGACTGAGGCTGTAGATCCAGGACTCAGGCTGTAGATCCAGGACTGAGGGTGTAAGTTACCTGCTCGGACCTGGTTCAGTCCTGATCCTCTTTCGTTATTTAAGCCTTTGAATTATAAATGCTGTTTACAGCTTGTCTCTGAGTGTCTGTAAACAAACAAACAAACAAACAGCAGAGTGAATGTGAAACTGTCTGGTCTCTCTCTGGCCTCTCTTTGCAGTCCCTCTATGGTCTCCCTCTGGTCTCTCTCTCTTATCTCTTCGGCCTCTTTCTGCTCTCTCCACAGTCTTTCTCTGGTCTCTCTCTCTAATCTCTGTCTCCTTTCTCTCTCTGGTCTCTCTCTGCAGTCTCTCTCTGGTCTCTCTACAGTATTTCTCTGGTCTCTCTAATAACTTTATCCGGTCTTTCTCTTGTCTCCCTCTGGTCTCCCGCTCTGGTCTCTCTCTCTCTCGGTTCCCTCTGGTCTCTCTCTGGTCCATGCTCAGATGTTGCTATGGTTACAGCGTGAGGCGACATCTGTGGAGTGGTGATTTCTGGTTCCTTCTTTAACCTCATGAAGTGTCTCAGATGAACGAAAGCAGTAACCAGAAGACGCAAACTATCGATCCACGACTCCAGTTTAAGGAGGCAGATTGTGACCCTCCGACCCCAGGACTCCTGTAACCAGAGGCCTCGTCCATCACTGCAGTAATGAGGAGCAGGACCTGGTTCAGACCTAGTTCAGACCTGGTTCATTCCTGGTTCCGTTCTGGTTCAGACCCGGTTTAACGCTGATTTGTCTGGTCTCTCTCTGGTGGTTCTCTTTTGTCTCTCTCTAGTCTCTCTCTGGTCTATCTCTGGTCTCTCTCTGGCCTCTCTCTGGTCTCTCTTTGGTCTATCTCTGGTCTATCTCTGGTCTCTCTCTGGTCTCACTCTAGTCTCTCTTTTGTCTCTCTCTGGTGGTTCTCTTTTGTCTCTCTCTGGTCTCTCTCTAGTCTCTCTCTGGTCTATCTCTGGTCTCTCTCTGTCTATCTCTGGTCTCTCTTTGGGCTCTCTCTGGTCTATCTCTGGTCTCTCTCTGGCCTCTCTCTGGTCTCTCTCTAGTCTTTCTCTGGCCTCTCTCTGGTCTCTCTGGTCTCTCTCTGTCTATCTCTGGTCTCTCTCTGGTCTATCTCTGGTCTCTCTCTAGTCTCCCTCTGGTCTTTCTCTGGTCTATCTCTGGTCTCTCTCTGGTCTCTCTCTGGTCTCTCTCTGGTCTCTCTCCAGTCTCTCTAGTCTCTCTCTGGTCTCTCTCTGGTCTCTCTCTGGTCTCTCTCTGGTCTCTCTCTGGTCTCTCTCCGGTCTCTCTCTGGTCTCTCTCTGGTCTCTCTCTGGTCTCTCTCTGGTCTCTCTCTGGTCTCTCTCCGGTCTCTCTCTGGTCTCTCTCTGGTCTCTCTCTGGTCTCTCTCTGGTCTCACATACACACATCTGTACTTCCCTTTTCCTTACAGGTACAATCTTAATAAGTAACAGAAAAATACAACATTCAATCAATTTTATTTGTGTATAGTCTCAGAGACCTTTACAAAGTTGTGAATTCACCCCCGCAGATTAGACAATCAAACATCATCTAACCCTGTGAGTCACTGTTTGATCGGGCTGAGAGCTGATTGGTTTAATGAGTCTATTTTCGGTCTAAATATGTGACTGTAAGACAAAAGGCGCATGATGTGAAAACTAGTGATCAGAGCAGCAGTTATTGAGACAGGTCTGAAAGTTACAGCCCCCAGCTTTAACTCTGGTCTGTAGTAAAATGTGTTGAGTAGTCGCTGCTCATCTGTCACTTTCTGATCTCGTTCACTTTCTGATCTCGTTCCTTCTTCTGTCTGACCCTGTTTCCTGTTTGTGCTGAAGCAGGAAGTCTGAGACAAAAGGAAGAAGACAAAGAGGATCTGACTGATGACCTCTGCTCAGCGGGAGAGACCAGAGAGAGACCAGAGACCAGAGAGAGACCAGAGAGAGACCAGAGACCAGAGAGAGACCAGAGACCAGAGAGAGACCAGAGAGAGGCCAGAGACCAGAGAGAGACCCGAGACCAGAGAGAGACCAGAGAGAGACCAGAGACCACAAACAGGAGAGAGACCAGAGAGAGACCAGAGACCAGAGAGATACCAGAGAGATACCAGAGAGAGACCAGAGAGAGACCAGAGACCACAAACAGGAGAGAGACCAGAGAGAGACCAGAGAGAGACCAGAGACCACAAACAGGAGAGAGACCAGAGAGAGATCAACACAGATCTGTGCCTCTTTTATCGAGGCTGAGAAAAGTTGAGATTACAATGTTACTCTTTTTGACAAAGCCCCAAGTCACAAACACACTTCCTTCGTCCAGATTTTGAAATCAGGAAGAACAGCTTAACCCCTAAAGTCCCAGATCCTGACCCCCACTGTGAGCCGGACTCTAAAGATCCAGAGTCTAAGAACCCGGACTCTGAGACTTCAGACTCCAAGGATCCGGACTCTGAGGCTCGACAAACATGTCTGGATATGGGTCATCTGCTCCTTATGTGTTTGTTAGCTTTTCCTTTCCAGTGAAAATGTCTTCATTTTGAGATCAATGAAGTCTATCATATTTTGTCTGATCCGTTTTCTTCAGCTCTGTCCATTTCACAGAAGCCCAGCCCCGACATCCTGCAGGAGGAGGTGAAGGCGCAGGAGGAGGAGGTGAAGGCGCAGGAGGAGGAGGTGAAGGCGCAGGAGGAGGAGGTGAAGGCGCAGGAGGAGGAGGTGAAGGCGCAGGAGGAGGAGGTGAAGGCGCAGGAGGAGGAGGTGAAGGCGCAGGAGGAGGAGGTGAGGGCGCAGGAGGAGGAGGTGAAGGCGCAGGAGGAGGAGGTGAAGGCGCAGGAGGAGGAGGTGAGGGCGCAGGAGGAGGAGGTGAAGGCGCAGGAGGAGGAGGTGAAGGCGCAGGAGGAGGAGGTGAAGGCGCAGGAGGAGGAGGTGAAGGCGCAGGAGGAGGAGGTGAGGGCGCACTCCCTGGGCTCTCTCTGGTCTCTCTCTGGTCTCTCTCTGGTCTCTCTCTAGTCTCTCTCTGGTCTCTCTCTAGTCTCTCTCTGGTCTCTCTCTAGTCTCTCTCTGGTCTCTTTCTGGTCTCTCTCTGGTCTCTCTCTGGTCACTCCCTGGTCTCTCTCTGGTCTCTCTCTAGTCTCTCTCTGGTCTCTCTCTAGTCTCTCTCTGGTCTCTTTCTGGTCTCTCTCTGGTCTCTCTCTGGTCACTCCCTGGTCTCTCTCCCTGGAGAAACCAGGTCTCTCTCTGGTTTCTCTCTGGTCTCTCTCTGGTCACTCTGGTCTTTCTCTGGTCTCTCTCTGCTCTCTCTCTGCTCTCTCTCTGGTCTCTATCTGGTCACTCTCTGGTCTCTCTCTGGTCTCTCTCTGGTCTCTCTCTGGTCTCTCTCTGGTCTCTCTCTGGTCACTCTGGTCTTTCTCTGGTCTCTCTCTGGTCTCTCTGGTCACTCCCTGGTCTCTCTCTGGTCTCTCTGGTCACTCTGGTCACTCTGGTCTCTCTCTGGTCTCTCTCTGGTCTCTCTGGTCTCTCTGGTCTCTCTGGTCTCTCTGGTCTCTCTGGTCTCTCTGGTCTCTCTGGTCTCTCTGGTCTCTCTGGTCTCTCTGGTCACTCCCTGGTCTCTCTCTGGTCTCTATCTGGTCACTCTCTGGTCTCTCTCTGGTCTCTCTCTGGTCTCTCTCTGGTCTCGCTCTGGTCTCTCTGGTCTCTCTGGTCTCTCTGGTCACTCCCTGGTCACTCTCTGGTCACTCTCTGGTCACTCTGGTCACTCTGGTCTCTTTCTGGTCTCTCTCTGGTCTCTCTCTGGTCTCTCTCTGGTCACTCTCTGGTTTTTTAGATGAGCTTTTAACACTTTTAGCCCCGTTTGAACCTGTCTTTTAGCAAATCAACTTTTATTTAATTTTTTTTACCAGTTTTTATGTTTTCATGTTTCCAACCCCATGGAGCAGCTGTGAGCCGGCAGCTGTGGTTAGCTTCAGGACGCAGCCGTCAGCATCGCGTCTGTAAAATGACGTATGTGCAAAACCTGGTGGCGGGTCAGATGAAGCAAGAACCGAAAATCAGGAATGAAAAAATAAGGATTTAATATAGATGATGAAATTCTACTGAAAATCACACTCAAACGTCCAAATGAAAAACCAGAAACAGAAAAACAAAAACAACGGACCAGTAAGAGGAGAGAGGAGCACAGGTGACCAACCAACACGGGAACAGGACAGGAAGTGAAAGTAAAACCAGAAGGAACTAATGTCAAAATAAAACCAAAATAAATAATAATACAAAATCTACACCATGACAAATTCACGGCGGACCATCAGCCGGCGGACCATCAGCCGTTTGAACACAAGTTTCCTTAAATGGGCATTTGTTCCGACGGCGTTAGCTTAGCGCTGCAACAGGCCCGAGCTGGAGATTCCCCTGAACGAGGGCCTCTGATTGGCTGAGAATCTGAGCTAGAGGCGTCTCTCATCTTGACCTTCAGCTCCCGTCGTGTCCCGCTCTGGCTGCGACCCTGGGGCTGCGGGGCGTCGGGGCTAACCACTCAGCCGCTCAGGTTTCCTCAGACCAGTGTCACCTGGACTCGGACTAATTGTGGTTCGCTGACGGACGAGCGAAACACTATCTCCCCCCTCCTCCTCCCCCTTCCTCCTCCCCCCTCTCCCTCAGCGGACAAGCCCCCAAGTCTCTGAGCCGGGATTCCCCTGAACCCGACCCCAGCGGTTAACCTCCGTCTCATAAAGGACTACAGTGTTTGCATGTTCTCCCTGTGTTCTGGGCGTTTCCACACGTGTGACTGATCTGTCTGGACAAAAAAACAAGTGTAAAGTGTCGCACGTCAGGATGAGGAGGAAACAAACGTTAAAGCTCAGGGACTTAACTTTCACACCACAAACAACAGAAACAACAATCAGCTCTCTGCCCTCACTGGGGTACTCCTGGTCAGAGGGATCAGAGAGAGACCAGAAAGAGACCAAAGAGAGATCAGAAAGAGACCAAAAAGAGACCAAAGAGAGATCAGAGAAAGACCAAAAAGAGACCAAAGAGAGATCAGAGAGAGATCAAAAAGAGACCAAAGAGAGATCAGAAAGAGACTGGTTTAGCCCTGGTTTGGACCTGTTTTAGACCTGGTTCCTCCTGGTTTCTCCTGGTCTGGCCCTGATCAGATCTGTACCATGTGACATTGATAATATTTGCACACTTCTCGTTCGTGAATGTGTCTGTGTCTCATTTAAACCGAAGGTGAAGCTAATATTTACAACTCCCGCCCACTCACCCAGACTGAGCGTCCCATTGGCCGGCTGCCACCACGCTGAGCTGTGATTGGACGTCTGCCACCAGAATGAAGGCAATGAACGTTGGACAGAAACCAGGTCTGAACCATGTCTGAACCAGGACTAAACCAAAACCTAACGCAGGACTTAACCAGGTCTAAACCAGGTCTAAACCAGGTCTACCAGGACCAAACCAGGATTAAACCAGTTCTAAACCAGGACTAAACCAGGTCTAAACCATGGACTAAACCAGGACCAAACAAGGACTAAACCAGTTCTAATCCAGGACTAAACCAGGACTAAACTATGACTGTATTAGGACTAAAGCAGGGCTGAACTAGGACCAATCCCAGTCTAAAGCAGGACGGAACTTGTTATAAATTAGGACTAAACCAGGTCTATATCAGAACTAAACTAAGTCTGAACCAGGTCTAAAGCAGGACTAAACAAGGTCTAAACCAGGACTAACCCAGGTCTAAACTATGACTAAACCAGGTCTAAACCAGGACTAAACTGTAGCAGTGAGGAAACTTGTGGGCGCTGAGTGTGAGGAGCTATATTTATCTCGTCCCAAACTTTACACTCTCGCTGCCAAAAAACACAAATAAATAAATATGCAAATGTGCAAAATAAACCAAAATAAAGATGTTTGCAGAAGTCAGGGATCACAGAGCGTACCAGAAGTTAAAGCTCAGGAACCTGATCCAAAACCACAATGATAGAACTCTCATTCTCTGGTCTCTCTCTGGTCTCTCTCTCTGGTCTCTCTCTGGTCTCTCTCTGGTCTCTCTCTGGTCTCTCTCTGGTCTCTCTCTGGTTTCTCTCTCTGGTCTCTCTCTGGTCTCTCTCTCTGGTCTCTCTCTGGTCTCCCTCTGGTCTCTCTCTGGTTTCTCTCTCTGGTCTCTCTCTGGTCTCTCTCTCTGGTCTCTCTCTGGTCTCTCTCTGGTTTCTCTCTGGTCTCACTCTGGTCTCTCTCTCTGGTCTCTCTGGTCTCTCTATGGTCTCTCTCTATGGTCTCTCTCTCTGGTCTCTCTCGGGTCTCTCACTAGTCTTTCTCTGGTTTCTCTCGGGTCTCTCTCGGGTCTCTCACTGGTCTTTCTCTGGTCTTTCTCTGGTGTCTCTCCCTGGTCCCCCTTTGGTCTCTCTCTGGTCTCACATTGCTGTGAGCTGGAACTAGAACTCTGTCTGCTTCATGGTCTGATGGAGGAGAGAGAGCTACACTGTCTCTCTCTGGTCTCTCTCTCTGGTCTCTCCGGTCTCTCTCTGGTCTCTCTCTCTGGTCTCTCTCTGGTCTCTCTGGTCTCTCTGGTCTCTCTCTGGTCTCTCTCTTTGCAGATTTGAACAGAGTTGAAGCTAAAAGGCAAAAGTCCTGGAGCAGCAGACTCAACGGATGGACTCAAAGAGGCACAAATACACAAATAAACAAACACCATGTGAGCTGGAACAAGAAATATTTCTGCTCAATGGTCTGATGGAGGAGAGAGATCTACACTGATGTGAGCCTCTGGAAACATACAAATGTGCTTTGTCGAACCAACTCTAAAATCACAACATGGTTTTCTGATTCCTGTAAGTCTCAATTTGTTAAAAGTATAAACCTGAAGAGAGGTCTATTTGAACAAAGATGATCAGATAGAGAAAAGAGAGAGACCAGAGAGAGACCAGAGAGAGAGACCAGAGAGAGACCAGAGAGAGAGACCAGAGACAGAACCAGGAAAGATCGTAGAGACAAGAGAGATTAGAGTCCAGATATATCAGACACCAGAGCGAGAGACTAGAGTGATACCAGAGACTAGAGAGAGACTAGAAAGATATAGAGAGCAGAGAGTGACAGGAGAGAGGTCAGAGGGAGAGAGAGAGAGAAAGAGAGAGAGAGAGGGAGAGAGAGAAAGAGAGAGAGAGGGAGGGAGAGAGAGAGAGAGAGAGAAAGAGAGAGAGAGAGAGAGAGAGAGAGAGAGAGAGAAAGAGAGAGAGAGAGAGAGAGAGAAAGAGAGAGAGAGAGAGAGAGAGGGAGAGACAGAGAGAGAGGACAAAATCTGTTACAATAGATACAGCTCTGGAAACCCCTTGATGACAGTCATGGCTTTGGACTCAAATTGAGACTAAATTAGACTAAACTGGACTTACCTGGACTAACCTGGGACAGTATCAGACCCAAAGACTGATAAAAAAAAATCAGATCTATTCAGAGCGCTCCTCCTCCTCTCTCTGCTCGTGGGGAATGGAACACAAAGTCCAAAGTCGGAGCGATTTTCTCACATTTTTTGGAAGCGTTGTGTGTGAAAGCCCTGTCTGCTGCTCCGATACTCTGCAAACACACACTCAACAAAGCTGCACCAACAACAGATCAACAGCTCTCCTCCTAGTCCCTGTGGGCTCTGACGGTCCCACCTAGTCCCTCTCCGTTCTCTGTTCTCTCTGGTCTCTATCTCTGCTTTCTCTATGGTCTCTCTATTTTTTCTGTCTCTCTTTCATCTCTCTTTGGTCTCTCTCTGGTCTCTCTATCTGTTGTCTCTCTCTTTTCTCTGTCTCTGGTCTGTTATGTCTGCTTCTCTCTAGTCTCTCTCTCTCTCTGGTCTCACTCTGGTCTCCCGCTGTTCTCTCTATCTATTATCTCTCTCTGGTCTCTCTTTGGTCTCTCTCTCTGGTCTCTCTTTGGTCTCTCTTTGATCTTTCTCTGTTCTCTCTATCTGTTATCCTTCTCTGGTCTATGTCTGTTTTCTCTCTGGTCTCTCTCTCTTTTCTCTGTCTCTTTGGTCTCTCTCCAATTGGCTAAGTGAGGGTGGTCCTCTCTTGTTCACTTTTCTGTCTGAAATGTCTGATTGAATGATGTGAGAGAGACAGAAAACTAGCGATAAAAGCTGGTTCTGTTTTAGAGCCAGAACCAGAGACATAGATTTGTTACATTGTTCCTTTGTATTTGGTGTTAAAATTACATCCCCCAGCTTTAAACATTGACTCAATCCTGTATTGTTTTGAGAGACCATGTCCTGGTTCGGTCCTAGTGCTGGTCCTGGTCCAGATCCTGGTTCTGGTTGTGGTCCTGGTCCTGGTCTTGGTCCTGGTCTTGACCTCGGTGCTGCATCCATCTTCATGGTTGTCACCTCTGGTTGCGATAAGCGCTGTGTTTGGACAGATGTTTGCACTCTCCACCACAAAAACACACATTTCTGAGTCTTGGACCTGGAACAGGATCTTCACAATATTTACTTTGGCGCTTTATGGTTTGGACTATGTGGAGATAGAAGAGAAACAGGGGTGTAATTTAAAAAAAAAGAAAATCTCTTTCTGGTCCCTCTCTAGTCTTTCTCTAGTCTCTTTCTGGTCTGTCTCACTGGTCTCTCTCTAGTCTCTCTCCTTCTACAAATGTCTACCACTCTCTCCTTCTGGTCTCTCCTTCTGGTCTCTCCCTGACCTGTCTGTGCTCACTCTCTGGTCTCTTTCTGGTCTCTCTCTGGCCTCTCTTTGGTCTCTTTCTGGTCTCTCTCTGGCCTCTCTTTGGTCTCTTTCTGGTCTCTCTCCGGCCTCTCTCTGGTCTCTTTCTGGTCTCTCTCTGGCCTCTCTTTGTGGTAGAATACCATCGATCTCTCTCTGACACTGTTTACTTTCACAGATTCTCGTTTTGACTTTTTCACACAAACTTTAAGATTTGTTTGAGACGAGCCTCAGATGTTTCGTTTGGAGTCATGTAACATCACCCAGCTGCTGTAACTTAAAGGAGACGCATGATGGTGCTGGAGCCGGAGACAAGTTGGATCAACACTGAGATTACAATGTATGTTCAAAACCATTACCTCATACACGAGAAAGAGAGACCGGAGAGTTGCCAGAGAGAGAGACCAGAGAGAGAGACTAGAGAGAGAGACCAGAGAGAGAGACTAGAGAGAGAGACCAGAGAGAGACCAGAGAGAGAGACCAGAGAGAGACCAGAGAGAGACCAGAGAGAGAGACCAGAGAGAGACCAGAGAGAGAGACCAGAGAGAGACCAGAGAGAGAGACCAGAGAGAGAGAGACCAGAGAGAGAGACCAGAGAGAGACCAGAGAGAGACTAGAGAGAGAGACCAGAGAGAGACCAGAGAGAGAGACCAGAGAGAGACCAGAGAGAGAGACCAGAGAGAGAGAGACCAGAGAGAGAGACCAGAGAGAGACCAGAGTGAGAGACCAGAGAGAGAGACCAGAGAGAGACCAGAGTGAGAGGCCAGAGAGAGACCAGAGAGAGAGACCAGAGAGAGAGACCAGAGAGAGACCAGAGAGAGAGACCAGAGAGAGACCAGAGTGAGAGACCAGAGAGAGAGACCTGAGAGAGACCAGAGATATG